TAACAACATTTAATTTATTTTGTTTTGTTTTTGATAATAGTCTTCATTTGTCAAACATATGCCAATGAACTGCCGGTCCCAACAACAAGGGAAAGGCTTTTGGAATTCCAAGTTTGCAGCTCTACTTCTGGGAGTCACAAAAAGCTTCCAGGCATGCAACCTTTCTCAGTCACAAACGTTCTCACAGGTGTGTTGACCCTGCTATTCCAGTTCAAACTAATTTTGCTTGGAATCATAGCTCCTGCCATTCTTTCCAGATGAGCTCTAGTTATCCTCTGTAGCCATAAGCATGAATGCCACAAATACCCCTACTTTTCCTTTAAAGGCATCTACTTCCTCTATACCACACTCAAAAGAGCAACATAATGCATGTCAATCCTTATTTCTGAGAGAGCTGAAAGTGAAGTGGTTGGAGTGCTGAAACGGAATCTATGAGATCTAATCCTCACTCACCAAAGCTTACTGGCTGATTTTGGACTAGGCAATGTCCTTCAGTATAACCTACCTCACAGGGTTCTTGCAACAGTAAGATTGAAGACAATTATGTAGCCACCTTGAGTCCCTTGAAAGGAAAAAGGTGGGATATAAATATGATGAATGAATGAACAGACTTCAAGACAGACTCATTCTTTCAGCACTAAGCCAATGCCTAACTAGATCCACATAAAGGAAACTAGCTGGATTGCCATATTTTCTCATGGATCAAATCCCACTGTTGGCTCCAATAGATGCATTCAATTCCCTGCAGAGGAATCTTGTCTGTTGCAGAGCACCAGATGTTGATTCACAAGTCATGAAGACATACAAGGTCATATACTAGCAAAATAGAGTAATTAATTCCTTAACTTGCAAACTCCTCTATGGACTAGAACTTTAATATAATTTTGTCAATCTGTACATTTGTTTGTTAATCTGTTTTGGTCCAACTAATGATTAAAGAATTTTCCAGTCCTGTAAAATTTTGAAAGAGCAGAGCTTCTATTTACCCCTTGGCCTACAGCAGTCCTTCCTAGCCTGCTGTCATCCAGGCTACAGCATTTAGAATAAAATGTCTGGTGCTGGGAGGCACATTTTAGAAGGAAAATTAAGTGCTTGCAGAGTAGAGCGACCAAGTTGATGAGGGACCTGGAAACCAAGTCCTACAAAGAACTGCTGAAAGAGTTCCTTAGACATGCTTAGCCTAGGAAAAAGATGATTATGGAGGAAAGTAACAGCAATATGCAAAGCAAAAGTAGCCACACAGGGCAGGACTGGAACCAACAGGTAGAAATTGTAGAGAGGTAGTTTTCAACTATGTCCTGAAATATCTCAAGGAGGTTTTTTTTCTTTTACTTGTGACATGTATCCTTGGTCCTGGTGGTGGGGAGCACAATGAAATAATTATTTTTATTGTATATCAATTTTATGTTGTATATAAAATGTTTTGTTTGTATTTTAGATTGGGGTTTAATAAAAATAACAAAACAAAAAAAGGTAGTTTTCAGCTAAACATATCCTAATAGTGAGAGATGTTCAGCAATGGCAAACTATGGCAAGTTCAACTTCACTGGAGGCATTTATTAATGAAGGTATGCATATGTCCAGACATTTATGTCCTCCTTCAGGCCTTCTCCTCTGAGAGAGATCCCATTTTTATAAAAGGTCTGCACCCAGTTTTATAAAAGGGATGGGAAAAATTTTCGTAAATAGATAAACTGAGAATTCGCCTAGTCAAATACCATCCGTCAAGTTATATTGGGAACAGTTATCCACTATTATTTCTCCCCACTCCACCCCAGTTTTACCACTACCTAAGTTTCAATTTTCTTAAAATCAGTGGTTTTTTTTTTTTTTTGTTTATACTCAAGTCCATGCCTGTCACACCAGTTCATATACTCCCCAAATCAGCTATAACAAAAGAATGAGAAAGGCAACGGAGTTCAACCACATAGGTAAACATCAAAATGAAGGAGGAAGTGAGAATCAGAGTTAAACAATGTAAATAAAACACAGAAGGCAGACTGTTCTGTGGCATATGCAACACTATTTTAAATATTATAAGGCAAGTATATGCAAAGAAAAATCTATACATTGGCCAAGTGAGAAGGAAGGCACTCAAAAAGGAATCGAACTCAAGATATGAAGAATTATGAACAATACCGCTTGTCAAGGCAGATGGTAATGTCTGTGCTCAGAAGTGGTGCAAATAACAGTCCCTCAGTAACCAGATGGCAATAAAACAAGCAATTCCTCCTTGTACTCTGATCTTTCAGAAGCTGGATACCTGACAATCAGACAGCAGCAAGTCCAGTGAAAAAAGATCACTGGGGAAATGTGTATGCCATCTCCTTACATTCAGGAAACTTGGGGATTTCTTACAAAACTGCTTGAAGGCATCATGTCCCACACTGAAGTGTAAGACCAGAAGGAGTAGGAGGAAAGACTGCATCATACCGATTGCATAAAAATGAGAAATTGTATGCAGCTGCAAGTTAAGCTTGCCTTGTGGGCACACAGCAACTAAGAAACCTATGTGTTGTTTGAGAGTGGTCCAAAAATCATGCTTCTGTCACAGCCTTGCTGAAAACTTCAACAGGAAGAGCACAGGTGAGCACAAAGGTATTTAAGTTTTGGAAGCTTCAGAGACAGACCACAGGGTCTGTACCATGACTGGCTGCAGCTCTCTAGAGTATCAGGGTCTTTGGAGATGACAGAGATTGAACCTGGGACCTTTTGCCTGCAAAGTGTATATTCTACCACGGAGCTACAGGCTTTCCTCAACAGTGACATAGCATACATATTTACCACTAAAGTCCTTCTCTTTTCAAAAATGGTACAGGTGCTCAGGGGGAGTGCATAACCCAATAACTTTTAACAGCAGCTCCTGAATTATAGCCATACGTTTGAGAGGGGCTAGGGAGACAGAGATTCTCTCACAGTAATTACTGAAAACACTGATATTAAAGCATTTCTGAGAAAAGACTAAGGCTACTTAGCCACTTCCCTTCAACAAACATACCAGGATCTCCCTCTGAGTAGACATGCATACCATTATACTGCAATTATTCCATTTTCACTAAACAAGTGTTTGTACCAGGATAAATTTGATTTACATTAATAAGACTAAAAAGTATGTAGCAGTAGTTTTGGTTAACACTCTTAACACAGAAAGGTATAGATAAACACAGGATTGATTTGGTCAGTTCAAAATGTGTGCTTATAGCCTTCAGCCCAAGTGACTCATTTCTACACTTGTACATATAGTATGTCCCACATAACCTTTCAACTGTGCAATCTCATGGCAATTAGACTGCATCTAAAAGGCCGTATGTTACAGGGTATTCATCTGTACAAAATGAGCTGCAATAATATAAATAAATCCTGTGTTTGATCCACATATAAACTTTATTAAAAACTTGAATAAAGTTTGAGATGGCAAGTTCCCCAGAACCTGAAACATGCCTCCAATGAGGCTTGGAAAAACAGGTAGGCTAAATGATCTATACCGAAACTAGCTAAGTGAACAAGGTTTTTTAGCCTTCAGCTGAAACAGAGATGGAAATATTGCATAGTTTCAATTTGCATCCTTCTGTTGCTAGAAGCTTACATTGTTCATAGCATCTTGCCAGCCAGGCTCTCAGCATTGAAGTCTGGAGGGAAACCTCAGAGCATTCACAGATCCTTCAATGTGTACTTAAGGCTATGCTATCCATTCAGTGGATTGCCAGCACCACCTAATGGTAAACACAGAGGTCTGATTCAGACCATCTCTGCAGACAATTTTCACAAGTCCTCAACTGGCAACAGATACCTGTAGGGTAGCTCAACGAGATGGCCTAATTGACCAACAGTCCTTAAATTTAGTGAATCGACGTCTATTATTGCACAGATCAATTCAGATATACCACCCAATACATACATTTGAAGAAGATAAAATGCCTTTCCCACTCTAAAATAAAAGACTGAATCAGCAGGTCAATAGTAGACCAAAGGAGCAACTGTGTTGGCAGGACTGCCTTGCTTGCCAAAAGAGCAGCCATCAAAGCTTGCTTCATACAGGTGTTCACAGTATTTTTAATAAACACGTGAAGCAACCTCAATAGTCAAAATGTGATCATGGTTTGTACAGGACACAAACTGGAGCCCGGTTTATAGTTTACACTCTTCAGAACTATGTGAAACACAGTTTTCCCTCAAGCGTTAAAATGTTCCTTCAAGTTTACAGTTGTTGCGTGTTTGAAAAAACAGCTTGCTAGAAGCCATCTGGCACATTGGACATTTGAGGTACTAGAGCCATAAGAACCTCCTGCTCTCAACAGTAGAAATTAATGACATTGTCTACAGTGATCGACAAACCTCCCAATGACAAAAAGCAAGACGTAGACCAACGCACATCAGAATAGCAGCTCCAAACCTAGCTTCAGAAAGTCCCCCTTATTTCTCTGAAGTTCTATACTTGTCAGTCAGTATGCCTTTCCTAGGGACACAGAAAGCTGCCTTATCCCAAGTCAGAGCATCAGTCCGCATACTGACCAGGATGTCCTGGGTTTCAGGCAGCATTCCTTCCAGACCTGCCTGAGGATACCAGGCACTGAGTATCTCTACCAATTAACTATGGCTCTTCTTCCAGTTTTCCTATACCACATGCCCAACAAAAAGGAAGCTCCCAAAGTGAGTGCAATGCAACCACAGCCTCACAGATTTATTCAGAAATTTTAAAAATACCTTATGAATTCTGAGCTAAGTCGCCTTCAGCAAGACAGTGCATATATCTAGAAATTATTAGATCAAGTGAGTAAAAAACAGTGCTCTAATTACCACCAACACAATGAGAAGAAAACAAACAGGGAAAATTGCATGCTTTTGCTATATCAGTGTTCAAGGGAGCCGGTTGCCCACCGTGCAGGTAAATGTGAAATACATTTACCATTCCAAGCTGAGTCATTATGGCTGAACCTTGCCACTTAATTCACTTTAGGCAAAATGTTCAACACAACCAGAACATTGTAAAAGCAACTCACCTGGGCAGTTCTGCTGGCTGAGCTTCTAAAGGAGCAGCAACAGGTACCGATGGCTCCACTACAGCATTAGTAGCTTGTGCGTCTACTTGCTCCTCTGCTACCACAGCCTCCTGTGATTCTGCAGCCTTTGCATTATCCAGTGCAGAGTCATGCTCTACTGCCGAGTTGACCTCAACCTCCTCAGCTACAGCAGGCACCTTCATCTTCTCTCCTGCAACTGCCAAGTCCTTCTCTCTTTTCCTCAACTTCTCCTCCATTTCATGTTGTCTTCTGTCTTCATCTTGATGGGCCAGATGTTCAAAGGTTTTAAATGCCTGAAAGGGGTACAGCAATCAAGCAGTAATCCAATCATTAACCTATCAATAACCATAAGAGAACTGGCAAATAAGGCATCCCTTTCAGGGAGATGCCATATTGCTCCTTTTACCAGGCTGCTTCATCAAGGCCCTTGAAAGCCAAAGTGTCTACATTACAATTGCTCAAGCTTTTAAAGTAGGGTCAGGCCATGATGCCAGTATCTTTGGAATATGAGAAACCACTTACAAGTTGCCCACCCCTGCTTTACGGTGCCGCAACATTTTTATTGCATTTATATCCCGCATCTTTTCTTGGTGTAAACCACCTTGGGTTCCTCACAAGACCTTCCTCCTTTATCCTCACAACTCCCATTGTGAGATAGCCTAGCCTGAGAGCCAGTAAATGGCCCAAAGTCAGCCAGTGATTAGAACCTGCTGGGGTTCTCACAGATCCTGTTCTGGCTCTCTGACCACTGCACCGCACTTGGCTCCCCGACCACTGCACCGCACTTGGCTCCCCATACTCTTATTATGGGTGCTTGCTAGAAAAGACTAATACAGCCAACCCTCCAGAACAGAAACAAGGAATGGACACTCACAACTGGTGGCCTCCAGAGGCATTATATTACCTCACCAAGGTTCTGCATGAGGAGGAGGAGACTGTCGTCCAGCACATATGGAGGCCACCAGGTTAAGGAAAGATGTGTCATCCAACAACATTATCGTGCAAGAGATGCAAACTCCATTACAGGTATGCAAAGGAAAATGCAGGTGTTAATAGAGGAATGAAGACTAGCTACAGTGCAACAAGAATACGGGTGAAGCAAAATACTTCAGTGGCACTCCACCTATAGCGGGCTTGCCTTCATTTCTAACTGGCATTTATTTGCTTCCATCACCCAGCCAAATGAGATCTTTAGCTAATACATCTCCACCCTTCTCCTAACTATAAACATACAGGGTCAGCTGTTTCATAAGCATAATTAGATCTAAATATTGAACCCATTCATGGCACTGATGCTTTTTATAAAGCAGCTGGCAAAAATAATTTAGTCAGCATTCTAGAACAGTCAACTACTCCATAAATAGACTAGAGGAACACAGGAGCTTGGTGCTATCAAAAACTCCATTATCACTCTAAATATCAGATTTCAGTCTGAAACTGTATTACCAAAGGCATATACAGGGTAAGCTATGGGATGTAACCAAAGTTTGGCCCAATATCAAATGACAACTTACAGTGTTCAGTGAATGAAAACAGAGCCCGAACTATTTTTCCAGGTTATACCCAAGGAAAATTAAGATTTTGCATAGGACAACAATCCTGGAAAACAGGTGTAGGACAGAACTGATATGAGGGCCAGTCAATGAAAAAGACACACCAGTCAGTTCAAGAATTCTATGACCATTCCTCTACTTTTCACCAATAAGTTCCACTCTTCCTCCTTTTGAAAAGTAAAGGAGTCACTTGTTCATTCAGGATTGGGTTCAAGACACACATTTGAATTTAATTACACCTTTGAAGCCTGAATACCACTTTTAAACCCAATTATCAAATATAAATTGTTCTGTGTTAAAAATATCAAACCTGGTCGGTTCCTAATTTGGTTAAAGAACTCTGTGTAGTTGTAAATGAGTTAATCTAATGAGCATTACTGGAAAGTGGTAGCAGAAAGAGCAGGTTAAATAGGATAAAAAATAATCAATTCAAATGCTTGTAGTCATCACCTTAATTCAGCATTTGTCCCATATCTGAAACTTCAAAAACATTTAAAAAATATTTTCTTAACATAAACAAGTACACAAAAAAAGAATGTGAAACAGAGCAAACAAAAATGAACAAGGTGAACAAAGTTGCCAAGGAAATTCTATAGATATACAACCTATACATTCAGCCCTCCAAATCTATCTTCCTGCCTTTCAACACTCAACGTTTAACAACAACAAAATTAATCTAAACAACAAATCTTCCAGTCACCTCAAATCCACTACTGTCTTTTTCTGTTCTGAACTCTCCTCAGATCCTATTAATCATGCTGAGCATAATAAAATTTCCATTTATCATTAAATGCTTCTAACTGTCTTCTGTTTACATAGTTAACTTTGCCATCACAGCATATTCTGCTAATCCATCTCTCCATTCTTCAATTGTTGGGGGCTCCAATGATTTCCATTTAGAAGCAATTGTGATATTGTTGCAGCTGTCATATACTTAAATAACTCTAGCATATTCTTTGAAAAGGTGTCTGGCACTATATTCAAAAGCATATTCTTGGGACTCATGGTAAACTTAGATTTTCTGCATTTCTGCATGTTCCACTTTCCAATATTTCTCATTTTTCATTTTTCTATCTCATCACCACATATGATAGAAAGTCCCATGCAACCTGTTACATTTTCCATTGTAATTCTTATCTATTTTTTCCAATATCTTTTGGAGTAAAATATTTCATCTACACAAAATAAGGCAGAAAGCAGCAGCTTTGTAGCTGCTTCTTCAAGTCTCTATTCCCCAAAAGTCCTTAAAACTCATATTTTGCATTAAGGATTGGGGTTTTCTCCACTCTTTTTTGCTACAGTCACTCTAAATCCCAAATATTGTTAGTATGATTATACTTTGTTTCAAAGCTGGATATGAGCAGCACCTTAGAGGTCACAAAGGAGATTGTTTCTTAGTAATAATTTTATTTTAGCTCAACCATAGCCAAAGACCTCTGGGTGGTTTAAAACACAATATAAAAACAATAAAACACAATAGATTTAAAAACTGATAGATAAAAACAGATCTATTTCTTAGTGATGAATAAGCTGGGAAAATCAGAATCTCAATCATGTTTTTGGGATAACTAGGATCTTACAGAGGAATCTTTGCTTCATTGTATCACTGATAGCTGTATTAATAAAAAATGTTCCATTTCTAAACATGTTCTGGAAAAGAGAAAAATACACTTACACTCCTCCAAACAGTTACAGCTGGTGCAGCTTAAGGTTATCCAGTTTTGCTTACTCTTACAATGCAGATAAAAGAAAATGTGTGTGCTTCTATAGACTTACAGGATATACTTTATTTTTCTAGAATCTCAAGCTCCATCAAAGTAGTTGCAGAAAGGTTCAAACACACACACTGTGAATTAATACACATAAGTCCAGCATGGGAATTTGTTTTCAGTAACAGAACTGAGCTCACACCCCTTCCACTTTTGGTTTCCCTCCCAAACACCCCAAATTCAAAAGCTCATTTTGGAGCTTATCTTGGAGTCAGTCTCAGAATCAAGTCCTGTTGTGTTTAAAAAGTAAACCTAAGACTGCATTGCTGAGGCAGGGGAAAGAAGCTTGCTATCATTGGTTGTAGCTACCTTTTTTTTTTTTTTTAAATGGCAGTTAAAAACCCCTTGCAAATCTACAGCAGTCATCCAGAGATCCACTAGCAGCTACCCATCTGAACTTTTATTTAGGTCAATGATGCCTAATTTCTCCAAGTTTAGTGAATAATCCTACAGCCCTGAGGAAGTAGGATCAAGGATCGTGCTTCCAAGGAACTTCCTGCCCAATTGCCTGCAGCTAGGGAAGTGGGGTGGGGTATTATAGAACACCTACAAAATTCTAACAAGAATTGGGATTACAGGGGAGTGGAGGAAGCAAACAGTAATGGTGCCTCCCTTCTGGATTGAAAGACAGGATAGAATTCAATTAAATATACAGTCATGTCATTCTTCTCCAGCCTGGTGCCCTCCAGATGTTTTGGGCTACCTCTGGCATCCAGCCAGCATGACCAATTGACATGAATCCTGGGAGTTGTAGTCAAAGCTAAATTTGTTTTGTGATGGTTTGGTGACAATATATAAATAAATCTGCTCTGAAGAGCACTAACTGGAGAAGATTGTATACACATGAATGTACAAACACACACTCCAACTGGGCATCAGACTTTCTAGTCCACAAGATCTGAGTTTTTTCAGTAGCACCTTAAAGACCTGTAAAATACCCTTTAAAAACTATTCCCTGGTGCAGTTTACTGTAACTAATAATTACAGACTAATACAACAACTCTTCCGAAGGTTAATGTGATTGCTAGTATTGGCCTAGGTCTGGAAAAATCAAATTCATGAGCATCTTTAAACAACACAGCATCACCAATCATTTGAGAATTCTCTACTAAAACTACATTGCAGGGTTTGTGTGAGAAATAAACCAGAGAAAAGAAAAATATGTAAGCTAGATTGTATTCCTTAGATAAAATGGATAATTTAGAAAAATCATACATAAATAAACATGGCTTGGAAATGCATGATTTGACAGAATGGACCCCACACCTGAATCTACCCAAACAGATTGAAGGCTTTCTCCAAGTGCAACATCCAAAGGAGGCTCAGGTGTAGTAACAAGGAAGAGGGTCTTCTCAGTGGTGTTCCTCCAAGTATGGAATAATCTCTCTACTGAAGCCCACCTTGCAACAACATCATATCCTTCTAGCACCAGGTTAAGAGTACATTCTACTCCCAAGCATTAATGGTATATGATACAACAAGTCAGCTGTTTTAACTGCCATTTCAGTTGTGTACTGAAACCAAAAATAGAGGTCGGGGCATGGCTGGCACATGCTGAAGTTGGTCTCTTTTCTGTCTAAATATGCATAGGTTTGCATCATAAATCATTCGTAAATGTTGTGAATTGAAATTTGAGGTTGCATTTAACAGTGTCCATGTTTTATGAGGTACCTTTACAACAGCAGCAGCACCCGAGAGGCATTGAAGCGTCGACTGAGAGGGCCGGCCGGACTCACCTTGAGGGTCATGGTCTTCGCCACGCCTGGAGGGAAGCCAAGCCGGTCCGTCGGCTGCAGCAGGAGACGATAAAAGTCGGTCTTGCGGTAGAGAAAGCCGAAGAGGATGTTCAGGAACTCCTGGACGTTGCCCACATGCTGCAAGATGCCCAACAACGCCTGGTCATACATGTCCGTCATCGCGGCGGCGCGCTCCATGGAGCCGAACGAGGGATGCTACCTGGGCGAGAAGGGCCTAAGCCGCGCTCCGAGGCCGGCGGGGACAAGCCGAGGGAGGGCAAAGCGCCAAGGCCCGACGCAGCGCAGCTACCAGCGGCCGGGTCGAGTGGGGCCGGGCCCGCACGCTCCTTCCTCCCTAAGCAACGAGCCCCGAGATGCCAGAGCCTTCCGCTGTCACGGTAACCCTGACAGTGCAGCCAAGCGGATCACGTGACCTGGCTCTTATTTCCGGTCCCTGACAAAATGTTTCCCTGGGAAGCTTCCGGTTTAACGGGATTCGATCGTTCCCCCCGCGAAGTCCCGAGCGGTGGCTAGAGTGCCGCTCGTGCCCTGCGGAGAGGCGGGGTTTAGGCTTCTCTCCATGGGCGGAGCAGGCAAGCGAGGCTCCACGTGTGACGCAATCCTACGCAGCTGTAAACTGGGGGGGGGGAGGAGAGAGCTGTGCAACTCCCAGCATGCCCCAGTCAACACAGGCTCGAGCCTTGCCGCTTCATAGCTCTGCCATTCTAGAGCCAGTTATCCGGAAGCAAGCCCCTCTGTCCTGAGGGAAACGTGCTTCTCTCTAGACAGAGAGGCTTGCACTGCCTGGGGCATGCTGGAACTTGTAGGTTTCGTCCTGTTCATTCTTCCACGTGGTTGTACCCTCTATTAGATACAGATGAGCGGGCGAGCTTGGAATTCTGATTCTTTCTGAGTGACATTGCGGGTTTGATTTTATAACACAAAGTCAAATATAAGCAACCTTTTTCTATAAGGATTTATCAATTGTTTAATTTTACTGTTGTGTTAAGTAGAGTTGCAGTCATGTGGCCACCGTTAATATGCAGGTGGAATAAGGATAAGAGGTGGATAGGTTGGGGGTCAATAGATTTATGGGTGCATTTTGATTGTCATTGTGTTTATTTCATTGTTTTTAATGACATATTTTAAGTGGTTGTTTTTTTGTAAACCATTCCAGGAGCCATGTATGGCTGCTGAATGGTACATAAAAGCAATAAACAAACAAACAATGAAAGTAGTTAAATGTTAATAGTAGAACCATCCTATATTTCAGTTTGGCGATCTCCGCTGTTAGAAAGGAGAGAATTGTAGATATTTCTATGTGGATAGGGAGGTTCGATTGAAGATTGGATCTTTTCCTCCAAGGACAGAGCTCTCCCTGAGTATCCCAAAAGACCTGAGGCTCAAGTTTACAGGAAAAAAAGAAGATAAAAAAGCACAAATATTTGATGTCAGAATAAAACACTAGGCAGAAAGATTCAAGGAGAGGGGTGGCAGGAGGCAAGACACATGTCTGCAAAAAGCTATCTAATCCCAGGGAATCACCTGCAACATACCCACCCTTTCCTTGAACACCAGAGCACAAGTCCATAGACCTCTCCAGCTATTTCTTTCAGCAACTAAGTATCCCATGACTTATTATTCCTGAATATGGATGTTTTATTTAGCATCATGGTCGGTAACCAGGATAGCTGCTATTTCATCTATCACCACATCCCATTTGTTTGCCCCAAAATGAATGCCAGTCAATTGTACTGGCTGACACTCAAGTTAAATACGATTGGGGGAGGGTCACTTCTATTTCTCACTTTTTCCCCTGTACCATGATTTGCATCCAATGTTGATCCTACATAACGCAGACCCACTGAAAGGAATGGTTGTTCTTAATATAGCAGAGTTGAGCAGATGTGAGGCTTATAGGAGGCAGGGGGGGTTGTTTTTGTTTTTTACAGAAACCCAGAGATCCTGAAGATACAAAATAGTGGCTCAGTTTGGGAGACATACATTAATACATTAAGGAATAAACAGGGTACCTCTGAGTACATAGCTGGTCTAGGATTTTATGATTGGTAAGCAGAACCAAGTACAAAAGTCATTTGACACAAAGATCCACTCTGCATTTCCTCTAAGCATTCTTTTTCAACAATGAACTTGAGGGAGCTTCACAGGGTTTCAAGTTATCATGTTAGACAACTGGGAGTCAGAAACCATCAGGGATCTACTGCAAATCACCTATACAACACAGCACTCATTAAAAAAAAAGATTTGGCATAATCACACCTGTGTTCTTTTCTAAAGTAAAGGTAAAGGTTCCCCTGCACATGCATACCAGTCGTGTCCAACTCTGGAGCTGGTACTCATCTTCATTTGTAAGCCGAAGAGATTGTCTGAAGACGCTTCCGTGGTCACGTGGCCAGCGTGACTTAATGCTGAGGTACACAGAAAGCTGTTCCCTTTCCCACTGAAATGGTGCCTATTTATCTACTCGTATTTGCATGCTTTCAAATTGCTCGGTAGGCAAGATCTGGGACAAAGTAGGAGGTTCTCACCCCATCATGCAGATCCGAACTGCCGACCTTCCAGTCAACAGCCCTGCAACTCAGTGACTTAACCCGCTGCGCCACCTGCATTCCCAGTTTTCTCTACACATCCATACACATAATCAGACTTTTGATATTACAACAGCCTTCCAATCTTTCTTGCAGGAGCTTCTTCTCCTTACCAGGAAGGATTCCCAGAGTTTTTTGGAAATTTATTTTGCTTTCAGCTTCATTAATTTTATGCATGGGCTTTCTCATCCAGTCATGTATCTACTTCTTCCCAAATGTACTGAAAGTTGAAAGGATTGCCCAAAATGCTTCTACCAGATCCAGTGCATGATATTAGAAAGTATTTCCCAACCATAAGACACCCTACCCCACAAAACAAAATGTCTTCATCAGATTTCCTTCCTTCAATAAATTAAGGGTCCTCCTCCGATGAAAACCACAATCTCTTTTGTCCACAATGCAACAGCCCTCCTGTGACTGTAGCTGTCCATTTGCAGATGCCACACTTCAAGGAGGATGTTGAGAAGGTAGGTGCATCCTGAGAAGCATGACCAGGATGGAGAGGCATCCAAGTAATCAGGCCCTATGAGGAAGAGCTGAAAAAGATGGGAATGTTTAGAAGCTGTTAAGGGGAGACATGATATCTTCAATACTCTGAAAGGCTGTCATGCAGAAGATGCCGCAAACTTGTTCTCTGTAGCTCCAGAGGGTAGGACTAAAACCAGCAAGTGGGAAATGGCCAGAGAGCAGATTTTGGCTAAACTTTAGGAGAAACTTCCCAATGGCAAGAGTAGTTTGACAGTGGAAGAGGAACACACCTAGTGGAAGAAGTGGAATGCCTTAGAAAGTGGCAGGCTCTCATTTGTTGAAGGCTAAGTAGAGGCTGGATGGTCATTGACTAGCAACTCCATGACTGCGTCCTGGATTGTAGCTCCACTGCGCAGAAGGGATTGGACTATAGGACTTCCAAGGTCCTTTCTGACTCTAAAATCCCATTGATTCTATGGTGTACTTCTCTTCCTCATCACTTTGTGAATCTTCTTTGCAATTTTGTGCTCAGTGTGAGGACGAATAGCCTTATGATGACATCCAAGCAAGCAAAGTCCTTCATAAGAATCTTCTTAAACCCCATTCAATTCCTCGTGTCCACTGATGGCCGCAGTGAAACTACTGGTCTCACTCACAGAGTATAATGGTATTTCCATATCAGAGGGACGACTCCTGCATGAAGGGGACACAGCCTGGCTCACTTGTGGACTGTACATCATTGTTGTGATTTCCGGCGTAGATGAACTGTCCCGTATAGCCCTCCATTTTGTGAGAAATCTGCAGTACCTGTGGAAAGGGAGAGATGGCAATTGAGATGATAGCTGTTTCTTTTCTTTATCATTTTTACAGCACCTGTGCATATTCATCCAGAAGCAAGTTTCACTGTATTCAGTGGAGCTTATGTTTGGGGTAACTGTGTGTAGGATAATGCGGATTATTGCCAAAAAATCCATTTTCTTGGATGTGTGCGCGTTCATTCTAGCTGCCTGTAAAAACTCAATTTCCTGAAGACGGGCCTTCAGGAACTTGCTAAATCACCTGCTACTGGCCTTTCAAGGCTGGAGCAAAACCTTGGGTAATTTAATTTAGCCCAGGCTTTTGTGAGATCTTTCCACCTGCAAAGCCCAGGAAAACTATTCTGCCAGCTAGTGAGTGGCAACGAGGACTCACCTCACACTTGTCAAAAGCCTTTGAGTGTTCACTGAGAGGTACTGCTGCCCTTTCTCTCCATCTTCATGGGATTTCATTTTGCCTCTGCTTGCAGTCAGCTTTTGACTCTGTGTCACAGTTTGGGCCCTATCCTAGTTGAAGACCCATATTTAGGTGCATATAGGCACGTTCAGGTAACTGTCTTTGTTTTTGCCTTGAATTCTTCTTTCCAAAGGGTGCTCCGTTTTGCGGCATGTTATCCCTTTTCTCTTTCCTTTTACAGTAAAGGAAATACATATACTCACCACCTATCATAACTGAAAGTGTGTGTCCTATTCCAATTAAGCCTTTGCTACTAAGCCCAGAGCTTAGCTACTTTGCTACTGTTACTGTATAGAGTTTCAGGTCTAGGACTCTGAGATAAAGAGAGCTGGCTTAGGGGTACTTTATACTGTCTGAGAGTTCCCTGGTTCAGAATGAGGTGGATGTAAATGATGGTGCCAGCCGAGTTGGAAAACTGTTTGTCCCTGCCTACTGTCAGGATCCCCAAGGATGGCATAACCCCTCCTGACGATGTGTTTGCAAAAGGCAGCATCTTTCACTGGGCAAATGCCTGCAGGACCAGGAGCAGATCTGCAGCTACTTGCAAGAATGCCAGCCTGAGCAGTCCCGCGGCACAGGCAGGAGCCCTGAAAGTCTCCGCTGTGCTGTTCAGCTTTGCCACAGCGACATGAGCCTTTGTGGTGGCTGCATCATGGTCCCGATCCTGTTTCCAGTCTTGCCTTGCTTCTGACCCTGCCTCGACTCCTGTCTGCTCCTGACTGTGCCTTTGCCTCTTGTCTGACCCGACTTTGCCAGAGACCTGATCCTCACTCTGGTCCTGCTACGCTTGGCTGGGCATCAGGTGGCTTTTCTGCTTCCGACCTTGCCTTCGCCTCTGGTTCGGCCAAGCCTTGTCCACGTCCGGCGCTTGCCGCCCTCGCCCTTGCCTTTGCCTCTGGACCTGCTATGTCTTGCCAGTACCTGCCTCTTGCCTGCGCCTGGCTCTGCCGTCACCTGTGCACCTGCCAGACTCTGCCAGTCATCCGACACTCCCTGCTTCCAGTCTGCTTTTGCTTCTGGCCCTGCGATGCTTTGACAGTGCCCGGCCCACGCTTGCTCCTGACTTCCCCTCTGCCTCTGGCCTCCTCCTCATGCTCCAGCCACAGACTCTACTGCCTTTGTCCTGGACCTGACACTACACTGCTAGGAGGTAGGCAGCCCATTCCCTCCCTGAACAAGCATCATCACTGTTGATGCTGCCATCAATATTTATGCGCTGCTTTTCGGGGCCAAAGCTCACAAAGAAGCATGCAGAAGAAGATTAGCACAATAAATAATTCACACCAAATCAGTGTAAACCAGAAACATCAAATAGGAGTACCAACCACAGCAAGAAAAGCACATTAGCTATTTACATTCTGAAAAGTGAAGGCTACAGTGAAGAAATAAATTCAGTATTTATTTATTTATTTAGGGAACTTCTATGTCACCCCATTCGCCAAAGTATGGGATTGCACTCCCCTTGAAGGAGCAGGCTCAGATGGCCTCAGTGGCATGGAGCATCCTCTACCAGCTCTGGCTGATGGCTCAGCCATGTCCTTACCTGCACAGGAATATCCTGATTTCAGTAATCAACACTCTGGTAATCTCCAAGCTAGACTACTGTAGTGTGCTCTGGGTGGGGCTGCCCTTGAAGACTGATCAGAAATGCAACTTGTGAAAAATACAGCAGCCAGAGTAATAACTGGGAACAGAAGGCCTGAGCATACAACGCTGATTCTGGTCTGCTTGCACTAGCTTATATGCTTCCAAGCCCAACCCGAGGTGCTGGCATGGCTTAGGACTGCAATATTTGACAGAACCCCCTCTCCCAGTCACTATCTGCCTGGAAAGCCTGTTTAACATTGGAAGTCTTCCTCTGATTAATACCTCTGAGTGAGACAAGTTGGTGCCAACAAGAAAGAGCCCCCCCCCCCCCCCGCCAGTTATGGAACAAGATCTTTACTGGAGCTGTCTAGTACCTTCTCTGCGGTGGCAACCAGATTATGGAATGGGCTCCCTGGAGAGGTGCACCTGGTGCTGAGTCTATATTCTTTTCGGCGCCAGGTTAAACTTTTTATTTAATGGCTATTTTAAGAATTAATTTTATTGTTAACAGTTGCTTTTTATTTTTATATAATCTTATTGAATGTGTTATTGTTTTATTGTTTTTCATTCTATGTTTGTAAGCCGTCCTGAGATGCCGAGGCATGTGGTGACGGGATATAAGAGTTCTAAGTAAATAAATAATACATCTCTCACTTTGTCATCAGGTTAAGACTGTCCTCCATAACACGGCATTTAGCAGCTGTAAGTAGTATTGGGGGAGGAAGAGTTATGTTAGCTGTTCTAACAGGTCTAGTCGTATTACCCTGTCTTAATTATTTAAATTGCTTCCATTTAGTTTTTAAATTTCTGTAGTGAAATGTTATGTTCCTCTTTTTTAACAATGCACAAACAGCTTGCCTCCCTGAGGAACATTCACCTTCTTTCTAAAACATAACCAATTATCCTATGGAGCATTAGTGCCCTGATGCAATCGCACCTATGTTCCAAGAAGATTCAAGTCACCCTCTATTATGGACCTATTCACATAATGAATAGGGATCATTGTGGGATCATGGGTTGTTATTATGGGCAAATCCTGGCCTATGGCATACCCATAGTTTGTTAATACTAACACCGAATTCACAACCCTACAACAAGGCACAGGTTCTCTTCCCGTGTAGTTCACAATTAACAGCCCGAAGTTAAACCACAGAACAGGGATTGCAGGTAACAAGAACCACCTACCATTCAACAACATCCTGTACATGGTTGCCATTACATGCAAACCAGGTGATGTTTATCAGCATCTCTCTGACAATTAGCGTTTCCGCTTCTACCCAGTTCCCTTTCTCCCACTGCATCCCCTTTGCACCCACCTGGATTGGGCCATCCTGTCCCGGAAGAACTCAGTGCAGAAAATAACAAGGATCGGGCTGACACAGCTGTGGGCATAGCTGAGGCAAATGGTGGCTTGGTACAGGTAGAAGAAGGTGGCTGAGGGGGTGGCTGTCAGGTTGACCAGCTGCAGCACGTGGTAGGGTGTCCAGCAGACAAAAAAGGCTGCGATGATGGTGAGCGCCATGCGGGTCACCTTCCTGCTGCGGACAGAGGCCTTCCGGTTCACGCGGTGCATGGCACGGAACAGGTGATGCAAAGTCAAGGAATACAACACAGTCATCACCAGCAAAGGCAGGAGGAAGGCCACTAGCAACTGGTAGAGGGTGTACCAGTAGATGCTGTGGGGACCTGGCAAATCGAGGAGGCAAATCTCTGTCTTGTTGTCCCAGTGCACCCGGGCATAGAGCATAGCAGGTGTGGCCAGAACTAAGCTTCCAGCCCATACTCCAGCATTAATCACGGCTGTGCAGCGCAAGGTCCGTTTCTGACCGATGGTGGAGGAGTATACCACTGCCACATATCTGGGAAGAGAGAGCCACATTGGGGGTATAAGTCATTGGTCAGCATGTCTGGAGCAGGAAATCACATGCCTAAATATCCCCCAGAAAGATCAGCTTTCCCTAACTTGGTAGCCTCTGGATGTGTTAGACTACAACTCCCAGAATCCTAGCTGGCTGGGGGATTCTAGGAGTTGCAGTCCAGCACATCTGGAAGGCACGAAATCAGGGAAGGCCCATCTAGATACAGTAAGCAAAGATAATTCATGCCTCCAATTACTTGTAATGGTAATGGATACTTTTTCTGTTTGATATACTGCAACCACAAAGACTGCAATTTTACATTAGAAAGTTAGCAACAGGGAAGGCAGGAACAGAAAGGCTTCTTAAATCTTTCCCTTCATGATATTTTCTCCTGCAAATCTCTTTCCCACTTCTCCTAATCCCTAAGCTGTTTGGATATGGATTGGCTTAATTTGTTTTTAAATGTTCTAGCCCTCCTTTCCATTCAGGTAGCTTACAACACAGATTAACAACCACAATTTAAAACACCCCTCGACTACCACTACTAAAATAAAATAAATTACAGCAGCTGTGCAGTTATATAAAACCAGCAGTGAAGGTAATAAAGCAGATGGTGAGGGGTTTTTTTTTCCTGCTTGCTGGCTGATAGTAATAAGAGCTCTCCATCTCAAAAAACCATTTTTTTTAAAGATGTTAACTAAAAACTCAGGAGAATAGGACACACAAGCTTCCTAGTACCTAAAGTCTGAAAGGCAGAAGAGCTGCCTCTACCATTCAAGAGTTGTAGCAAACTCTTCTCTGCCAGTGGAATGCCATTGTGGTACCATGATAGAGACAGAATGCCAGCAAAACACTCCAACAGTGAAATTGTGGGCAAGACAGGGATGGCACAGCAATGGGGCACACATCCTGCCTGAATCCTATTCCCCAGGGCTCCAGAACCTTCCTCAAGCCAAGGGCTGACTTCCATTTCAGAGAAATTCTCAGAAGTGGTGGCAGAATCAAAATAAATGGGAAGAAAGCTAAAGCAGTGGGGCAAAAAAGCCCACCAGCATATCTTAGCCTAAAACTCCTACTGCCAAGAACTAAGTCTAAGAAGGAACATTTCAACCATTTGGAAGGGGGATATGGGGAGTGTGCAAACTGCACAAAAGCTGAGAAATCACCAAACAATTGATGTTTCTGGGGAAAGGACATGGCTATCGAGGGAATCCTGGACCACTGGCAGGCCAGCTTTGGCCCCCAGGTGTACGGTTCTGCACCTGCGAGACTTCTTCAATCCATGCCCCCATCACCGGCATAACTTTACCTGAGCTCCAGACATGACACAGGAAGTTTTCCTTTCATTGTCTTCAATGATTTAACAAACTGCAGCCTCTTGCTTTTGTTCCACAATGTTGTAACACTCCAATTTGTTTTTATAAGAAATTGCACCATTCCCCGAAAATATGTTTCCATGGTAGCATGAACGTTTGCTACCTGCTGCTTGCCACTGGGTGTGTGTGGCACCAAAAGGTAGAAGTGATGGGAGCTGATGCAGCCCTTTGTACAATGAACACACACACACCCGTCCTACAAAGACAGGCAGCCCCTGGATGCAACAACCGGAGCTGTTTATGAGGGCCGTGCATGATCTTGCACTGGTCACTATGAAAATTTTCAAGCTGAACTCAGATTCTGGGTTTCTTTCCCTCCCCCCACCCCCGAGGAGAGAATAGCCAGCCTTTCTGTCCATTGGTTAGACTCATGAAATGATCTAGAGACTATGGGAGCCGAGCCCGACACAACTGGAGATGATCAGGTGGGGGAAAGCCGGTATAGCCTATACTGTTTTGCTCAACACACGTTAATTTCCCAGAATCCAACTAACAGTGAAGTACGTTGTTCCTAAAGCACGGTTACAACTAGATTCTCTCCTTCCCCTCTCACTTTTTTCTAACCTTGGCAGCAGGCCCTGTTCTGTGGCATTTCCATATGCCAGCTTTAGCTTCAAAGGGTGGGGATTCCTAGGAGCAAATACTGCGGGATCAGAGCACCTGCATTGTACCCGCCCAGACCCCGGAGAGCTGCTGCTGTGCTCAGGGCAAGATACTGACCTAGGGGAACAAAGAGCCTGCCAAGGACAGAGCAGGCTCCTCAACTGTTTCCAAACACCCCCCACCCCCTTCCTCCACCACCTTGGCTCATACCTGTCAATGCAGAGCAGGGTAACAATCGCCACACTGCTGAACTGGTTGTTGAGGTCGATGGCGGTTGCAGCCGAGCACAGGAATTCCCCAAAAACCCAGCCCTGCTCCTGGAGGAGCTGGTGGATGACAAAGGGCATCCCAAGCAGGAACAGCAGGTCTGCGACAGCCAGGTTCAGAATGTAGATGTCGGAAACAACCTTCTGCTTGCAGCCCAGCACCACAGAGATCACCAGCCCGTTGGCAAGCACACCGCAGGCACAGATGAGGGTGTAGACGATGGGCAGAACTAAGGAGACGGCTGGCCCCGGGGAGCTGCCTCTGGATGGAGTGCCCTCAGAGCAGCACAGCTCTGATTCCCAGGCCCTTAGGGACTGGTTCTCTACCTGCTGACTGGGAACTCCCAGCGAAATGTTGGACTTGGGAGAGAAGTCACAGACCCTGTCCAGCAAAATAGCCATGATGAATCCTAGGCAGCCACCTTGCCAGGCAAGGAGGTGCCCACATGGCTATCCAACTGAGCACGGGGAGGAGGGAAAACTTCTTGGCCGAAGAGACAATGGCCTACCAGGCACAGGGATAGTCCTCTCCCTCTGTTGGAGGATAAACCATGGGAGGATGTTGCCCAGCTTCTGGCAAGGGAAATATTATTGAAAGGGGATGTGAAAGGGACACTGGGCTCCCATTAGAGGATTCATCATGTCCCAGGCGCTGTGCAGTCCACCCTGCATGCCGCTTCTAAATCAGTGTCTCCTAGCATAGAGGAAATGGCCCAGTTGTCTCTTGGACTTCCTCTTGCATGCTGTGCCCTGGTCAAAGAGGAATCATGACCTCTTAGTGCTTTTCCTCTGTGTAAAACAAATAAAAATCAATTGAAATGATCCAAGTTAACACAACCAGGAACAGAGCAGGAGTAGATTAATTTATACTCCACTTTTTTTCCCTCCAAGGAACCCAAGGTGGCTTACAAAATCCTCCCCACTTAATTTTATCCTCACAACAACCTTGTGAGGTACATAAGACTGAGAGTCAGCAACTAGCTGAAAGCCCCAATTTCATGGCTAGGCAGGGACTAGAACCTGGATCTTCCAAATCCCAGGCCGACCATCTAACTAATGTCCCACACTGCTTGTCCTGCCTGAACTCCACCAGCTAAACAAATCAATGTTAGGGTTCCTTGGTGAAGCGCACAGCTTTGGGGCTCTGTGCTGGTGGATACTGGCCCCATTCTACAGAATTCAGTAGAAACGCCAGAGGTCTCTGCTGCAGGCAGGACATTTTCACTGGCCCAGGTGGAACGAGGCGGCTCTGTTCACTGATCCCTGGGGCCTCAACCGCACCCCAGAGCCTGACAACGGTGGGCGGTGGGACACTTCGGCTTTCTTGGAGCTGGGGGGAGCCGGTGCCCAGCCCGCCACCAGCTGCTGCCCTTGCCCTGGCGGCTCGTATTTCCCCCCCCCCCCCCCGCCTCCCGAGGCAAGTCCACCCAACAAGCTCAGCCGCACTCCAGACCCATAGTTGCCGTCTCTATCTCAGGTCCTCAGCTCGCAGGAGAGGGGCTTCCTCTGTCAGGGGTCGGGGGAGCCCGCCACGCTCCCCCGAACTGGAGGGGGCGGGCAAGAGGCGCGCAGGAACAACCTCCCCCCGCCCACTCTCTCCAGGTGGGGAACGGCCAGCCCGCCCGGGGCGGCTCTGTGGGGGCGCCTGGCTCTCCACCTGCCTCCCCGCGGCTCGCCCTACGCGGCGTCGTCTGGGAGAAGGCGGTCTCCGGCTCGTTGCTGGCCCCCTGGGTGGGGGAGCAAGAGTGCCGTCCTCCCCACCGCATCCCACCCCACCCCGTGGCGCACCCACGGCTCCCCAGACTGCCTGCCCCTCCGCGGAGCTCACCGCGTGCTCCTTCCTGCCGCCGCCGCCGCCGCCGCCGCGTGCGCGTGTGAATGAGCGCCCGGAGAGTTCGCGTGGATGCGCAGTCGAGCCTGCCTCCCGTGGTTTATTCTCCGTCAGGCTTCCTGCCGCTGCCTTTCATTCTGCTGGAAGTGGGAATAACCTCCCGGGTCTTTTATTAATAATAATAATCCGGCTCCGTTTACACCAGAATCGCTTCACTGCCTTCCTTCTCTCTTTTCCTGCAGTGCCTGCTTGGCTCTTTCTTTTTTAAAAAATGCACTGATTAAATAAGTAAACATAGGAAGTGCAGAGTATCTGCACCCACCACCTTGGCCAACTAAGCCTCCATGGGCCTCTTCAAGACAATGATAAAAGGCAGACAGAAGGCAGCCCTACCTGCAGGTTTAAAGTCCCATCACACAAGGAAAAACGAAAAGGGAGGGAAGATCAAGGGAAGACTCTCTGAAAGTTCTGCACCCTAACCTGGAAGCCCACTGCATGTTCAAATTATGTTAGGAACCGCTCTGCAAAGATTCCTATTGACCAACAGTATACAAACCCATCATATATCTCCATCAAATAAATACAGGCTTGTAAATTCTGGCAGACCTATTCTTGGTTACGTGTCTAATCCCTTTCAGAGTCATCCGTGAAAGAGGTTATTATCACATCTTGTGGCAATGGCTTCTTTGCAGTGAGTATTTGCTTCCTGAGCACATGATCCAGGTGTGTGTGGGCAGTGGAGAAGGCATGGCACAAACAGAGCTTTATCTATTCTAGACAGAGATGCATGCCTAGGAACTGAGCAGCTGCTACATGCAAACTTCCACCTTTGGATCAGGATAACATTCTGCAGAGATTTTGAAAATACCATGAAATAGGAAGAATCTGCTTCCTTAAGCCTGTAGAGTCTTGTTGACTTATCACTGAAAAAGTAATTTTCAAAACCCATTGATGGCTGCTTCACTCCTGCCACTAGCGCCACTAAAAATGGTTCATTTGGTCTGTTGTCAGAAGCTGGAATCCTGGCTTTTTACACCATCTATGAGTCAAGATCATCAACCAAGGTATGACCTTGGTTTTCAATAAAATCCAGCTGCCTTACTAAGTCTGGGTGTATTTTTCTGTTGCTGAAAAATGTCTTTATGTTACTTTCAGGTTCCCCAGTAAAACCGGGCGCATCAGCTCACTTCTACCCTTTTCTGTAAACAGACAGACAGGCGCGCTCATGGAAGTTGCCTGTACTGTATCTATCGCCCCATCCCGGAAAAGAGAAACAGCTACTGACGTGCAGGTTGTCCTTTTTTCAGGAAGCTGCCTCCTCAAGGAGGTGGCAGGTGGGGACCGTATGGGAAAGGGGCCATTTTAAAACTTCCTGAATGCTTGTAAAACAACCAGCCGCCTTCTTTTCTTATCTGTTGTCAGCTCAGAGGGCTGTAGAGACAAAAGCAAATGAGAGATGGGAGCCCAACTGAGTCATCTCTCCCATCATCCTGTGCCTTGCTGGCATGGCAGTAGGAAGGGGGTGGCAACATGGTATTTTACAGCTCAGACCCCACACCGCCTGTGTAGGCGAGGGAAGGCAACTCTGCTACATGAAGCATTATAAAGAGGCTGTATTGAATGACTGCAAGAATGTGTTGATTTACAACAGCAAAAGACCAGGTTAAGCTATTTTGACCTTAGAGCTCAGCACTGCCCGCTCCTACAAGGAACAGCTGGCCAAGGGTCTCAAAGCAGGGAACGTTCACTTGCATCACCTGCTCCCTGGGGGGTTTTAACTGGAAATGTTGCAACCTGAAATCTTCTGCAGCTCTGCCATTAAGCTATAGGCCCATCCCACCTACCCACCCATCCTCTATTCCATAACCTGCTATATTAATAAAGAGGATGTGTATCTGTCCTTCCATCGATCCATCCATCAGAGCCAAGAAAATGTCCTTTCTAGCCCCTGAAGTTTGACAAATATACTAAGGAGGCGCTGGGGTGAGCAACTAAGCATGGTTTCGATTTAACAGGCATGGTTTGATTTTCATTCATTTTAATGTGTCTGGCTGGCTCCCAAAGTACCATAGCCTGGAAGGCTGAGTCCAGGGGGACTGTCTTTTCTCTAGGAGCTGCTGATGGGCCATTTCAAGACCTGGTTCTCCCTTCAAATATATGGTGCCTTCAAAACAGACAACATTCCTCTGGCAGCCCTTCAAACAGAGGGCTTCCTTCTGTAAAAGAGGGTGTATTTATTTATTTTAAATGATTTGGCACCAACTTTAAAGACAGAATCCTAAAGATAAGGGGGCCAGTCACGGGGAGCCCATGAGTTCCCTTTGCAGAAGACTCTCCTCTATTCTAAGGGGTGCCTGGTCCCAAATTCAACTGAAAGATTAGGAATAACAAGAAGAGAGAGTCAGCAGGGGTCCTGAAGTTGCCCAACGAGAGTTGGCACCTGGACAGCAAACTAGTTCACCTGTTCACAACCCTCCACCAGTATCAAATCTCTATTGTATTTCTACTTAGAGCAATTATTTTACAATTTTACTGTAGATGTATATATTAACATATAAAGTTGTGAAAATCTGTGCGGAGTTTGTTGTTGATGCCGATTCATTTCCTCCATTTTTGGTAATGTTGTAAGCCGCCCCGAGGCTTCGGCGAATGGGGTGGCATAAAAATGTTTTAATAAATAAATAATGTGGTAAATGGCCACCTGTGCACCCATCTAATCTGAGCACCTCAGGAGAATAAGATGGAAGACTCTCCATAGAAAATAGAGCAAAACCAAGATAAATGTCGGTAAGGTCAGTGCTCACCTTGCAGAAGGTTGAGAAAGAACCGATACACAATCCTGTCTATCATGATAAAGGGAAATTAAGTGCTACGGTTTTCACAAAGCCACCTCGCTGGATATGACAGCTGCCCACCCCCACCATCCTTTTCAGCCACCAACACGCGAGGTCACCCACTCCTGTGCAGATTAAATCCTAGCCAATTTGCTGACAACATAAGGCTGTAATGACTCATACCAGAATCTGCTCCTTCCCACTCAGTCGCATCATAAACACTGCCCACCGAGTCTTTCTCCCTCTGTCTTTCCCTATAGCTCAAAATTGCCACTTTCTGAGAAGCCTTTGCTAGTAATTTGTGCTTGATGGAGCCCTAACCAGCTCTGCACATTCAGAAGAACAAGTGCCCAGGAATTCTGGTTTATAGACCAGAAACAAAGATGAATCATGCAGGCTTCCAGGGATAATTGATCTCTCTCCCATTTCCCTGTTAGATTGTTTTAAATCAATCTGCCTGTCAATCAATCAGGGGCACAGTAACCCACCTTGGGAATAAGGTGCATAGTATATGTACCTTACATACTGACCTTCTTCTCCCTGGTCCTCCAGACAGTATCCCAGGGTCCTGTACAGCAGAACCTAACTTGCATCCTTCTCTCTGCTCTGATTGCACTCCTGTTTTCGTTTTAGTTTGGCTTGTTTTGGAGTGCCATCCTAAGTGACTGATGATGATCCACTGATGTCCAAGTAGCACTTTGGAGTAATTGGCATGTAACCTGTTTTTTTTGGGGGGGGGGGTGGAAGAAATGCAGTGCATAACATCCATAAACATAGCTTCCCACACGTGACAGCTGTCAGTTTGTGAACTTCCAATTAAAAAAGCAAGTGGCAGAGGAGGGCTGCATGAAAGAGAAGTGGAGCGTAGGACTGTGTTTGCAAGAAGCAAATGATTTTAAAAGGTTGCTTGTCATACTGCCTCAACTCAGTTGTGGTAACCAGCCATTGTGACTTACTGTGGTTGTCCACCATGCTAAGAGTCCATAGTCTGTTCTTGGGTTTCCCCCTACCAAGATGGCTTGTCACATTCTCCAAACATAGAAAACACATTGTGGTGCAAGATCTAGAACAGGTGCGCTGTTGACTAGAGTGGCAATGTCTACATTTGCCAAACGGCTACCCAAAAAAGTGCAGCTGGTAGCTGCCCCAGCCCTTTTTGCATGGTGGAAATCCTTTGACGGCCACGGCAAACCAAAATCAGCTTACTGTCAACAAGAGCAACCTGTTCCTCCCTGTGGTGTCCTCTGAAACCCCACCAGGAAGAATGAGATGGAAGAAGCAAAGTGACTATGAGCCCAGCTCTTTGAGGATCTATAACAGCAATCCAAAGTTGCAATTGACTACAATGGGTTGCCATTACAGGTGAACTCACCCCATATTTACCCTGAAACAGTGTGATCCTATAGATTTTAAGCAGTGCGCTGACAGTTCTTTGTACCTTCCATGTTTCCACTTTCTCAAGCTGTTGTGCACTCCAGAAATTAGAGTTCTCAATTCCTCTCCTTTTTCATAAGCACTTACTTCTGACAGCTGTCAAAATAAAGGATTCGTTAAAAAAAAACTATCTGGCAAATTTCAGCTTTTTTCCCTTTTGCGGGAGGGAAATATATGCAGTTTTCATGAATTAGCATGATGTACGCTGAGTGTTGTAGGTCTTTTCAGTGTAGTAATAGGGGTTTTACACTCTGTTTTTCATCTCTGAAATGTTGGGACATTTTGATACCACCCAGACAGCTTCAGCCGTAGGGTGGCGGATAAATGAAAATGAGCTGAGCAGCAGGGTGATATCGTTGATCAGCAGCTGAGCAGCACAAGGCACCCAGAGCCCTGTGACCCCAGCCAATCTCACTACTAAGCTTTTATAGCCGTGCAGCAGGAAAAGATGGAGAACAGGCGTGGTGGCTTCAAATGACATTAGTCTCCAGGTTTGATTTAGTCACCAGGTCGCACTGGACTTAATTATATCAGTACGGAGTTAGGAGATTCCAGTGTCTCTTCTGTTGTTGCTGAAGAAAGATACTAACGCTCTTGCCTAGCCCCAAAAGCCTAGTGGGGAGAAAATTCAGAGATAAAAACAGGTATTCCCTCAATCCCCCCAGTTCTCAGTCTTATCTCCACAACTACAGGGCCATGAAGTAGGTTGGGAGCCTGCTACTGGCCCAAAGTCACCCACACTGGCTCCGTGGATGAGCGGGGACAAGACCCCAGATTGCCTGAGTCCCAGACCTGTGCTCTTAACCACTAAACTACACTGGCTCACATTTGGCCTAGTCCATTATAGTCTTTAGGTTTTCTATATTAAGGTTTACCTTTTTATACTGGCATTATTATGCTGTCATAATGCTTTTTGCACAGAGGTACATCTGGCACCTGTGGTTGTCCAGAGCTCCCAAATGACAGATCTCACTCACACCAAGCGGGGTTTTTCAAAAGTTTATTTCACCAGTGCCTCTTCCCTTCTCCTCTCATTTTTTGACCTTGCCCTGGGCTGCCACTGCTTCCATGGCCTTCCGCACAGTTTCTTCATCACCCAGGAACTGCATGGGCTTTGTAGGTTTCAGATGATCATCCAATTCATACACAATGGGAATTCCAGTTGGGAGGTTGAGTTCCATGATGGCTGCGTCAGACATTCCTGCGAAATAATGAAGAAGCAGGTCAGAAAAGGTCCTCAGCAGCATCTCCTCCTGCTCCTTCTCAAAGCCAGCCTTGTAAATAAGCTCACAATTTACTTGCATTGTCATTTTAAGTTAAAAGGTAGTAGCTTGCAACGTTCTGCATGAACCTTCTACACAGCTAGTTACCTGTTTTTCCACACTAACTTCAAAAAAGGGAAAGTATGGAAATGGAAGGTACTAAACTCTGAATGAGTAAGTTAAAAATTAATGCCTTCTACTAACTGGGGTGGTGGAAGAAGAATGAAGAGGTCCATCCCAGTCCACTGTTCTTCCTTGCTGGTTGTGCAGGCGGAGGCTTATCTTCCTTCATGGCTAGCATGGAAATCAAGTGGGAGGAAAGAGGTGATCCATTCCTCCCCCTACATCAGCCGACTCACTCACCTGCATGAAATCACATTTTATTGGAACAAGCAAGGATCAGAAGCCACAGCTTGATCTTGGCCTGTTTCAATAAACCACAGTTTGAACTAATCAGAGTTTCCTTGTTGGACTTGAAGATGCAGTGTGGTTACTTTAAACCAGGAAATGAATGTGTCTGGTCTCCTTTTTACAGCCATGTCTAATGAAGGAAATGAGGTGGGGAGCATGCAAGTCCAAGGTTTGTTCAACTTGTTCTAAATCCTGGTTTCTCACTGTGTCCAGTCCTGCCTAATAAGGCCAATGACTATGAATGTACCATAAGCCTCTTTTCCATCTTTCTACGACAGACTAATATAGCCACTCCTCTGAGAGATACGGAGTCCTTTTGTTTAACCTATGAGAGTTCTCTTTCTAAATATCCTACGAAGAGAAGCATCTTCAGACCAGTGAAAAGAGTGCAGAGCAATGTTGAAAACGAAGCACATATGATCCTTTTACTGCTTGTGGCATTCCAACTGAACTGCAAATTTGCACGAAAATTACTGAACTGTGAAGAGACCCAAGAAGGCAGTCTCAGCAGGGACCAGCAGAGGGCATTCCTGGAAATGGAGAGAGAACTGGAGTCGGCTTGCTTGACCTATCATGTCAGTGGCCTTCTCTTCCTCCTGAATTGTGAGATGCCTCCTTGGATTGCCCATGACCTTTTGCAGTGGGGTGCATTCAGAGAGGTCAAGGAAACAGAATCTTGGTGGGGCGGGGAAGCAGGTGGACAGGCAGGGCCTGAAAGTGAGATGGCAGTAGCCAAGCCTAGGAACCAGCCCTCCTCAGCCTTAAGTCTTGTAATGTGAATCCAGCCTGGAAATAGCAACACATCCTTCAGCAGGCCGCACGCCAAAGAGCACTTTGCTCTTTTTATCGGCTGTTAAAGATTCGGGTTTGGTCAGGAGCTGCAGAAAGTCTGAACAGAGAATATGTGGCTGTAAAACAACCTCACCCAATCTGGTGCCCCCCCATATGTGGACTACAACCCCCATCATCCCTGGCCAAGCTTTTGATGTAGTCCAACATACCTAGAGGGCTCCTGGGTGAAAAAAGTGGATGTAATCCCCTCCCAACCAGGGAAGCATCTGACGAAGAGGCTTCTACATTTCTCAGCAATGCTTCCTGCAGACAGGGCTTCCGGCTGAAAAAGTGCGGGGCTGCTTCAAGCAGGCAAAAAGAGACTGCAGAGGTTCGAGCAGGAAGCGGGATGGGTGCATAGCTGGGAAGCCACAGGCCTGGCACTCTGCCTGCCTGCCTGCCTAAAGGTCAGCCGTAACTGATCGTATTCTCCAAGATGGCCAAGACCCAGCCGCCTTCGGTACCCTGGCCTCATGGACACTCTGAAAGCACCCCAGCAAGGTCACGTCTGGAGCTGAAGAGGCTGTCACTCATTGGGAAACCTTCTGTTTCGCTGGGGCAGGAAGGACTAGAACCTTGGAGAGCATAGCAAATGGTGTAGCCCAGCCTTCCCCAACCTTCTTCCTGTCCAGATGTTTTGGACTCTCCCATCAGCCCCCCAGCAGTGTGACCGATGGTTAGGAAAGATAGCAGTTGTAATCTGAAACATCTGCAGGGTACTAGGTCAAGGAAGATTAGTGCGGGCAATACTGAATTAATTAGACCAATTGGCTGATAAAGACAGCTTCTTATCTTCTCTGTACCTTCACCAAAGACCCTGCTTCAGGCTTCTCTGAACTTTCCCCTCCCTTTAGATGTTGTTGGGCTCCAACTCATATTAGTCTCAGCCAGTGTGGGATGATAAGAGTTGTAGTATGACAATATCCAGGGTTGCAACAGATTCTCTATCTCTTCATCATGGTTAAAAACAATAATAGCTCACTACCTTACCATCCCAAATTCTGTGATAGCAAGGGCTGAATTTCACGAAATGTATGGATTGCAATGTAGAATCTTCACACTTGCAACCCCACCGTACCTGTTTTGCAGAAAATGCTTGTTCCATTCAGTCACAGAAAGTGGTAGAGCTCTGCAGATCACTGAACCCCTGGCACTGATAAATTAAAGTTTTGCTCAGGCCCTTTCAGATGCATTCCTTGCACACTTACACATCTGTCTTTATAATGCCAATGGCTAGAAACTTGATCTCTTTTCTTTTAAGGATCTGGTATTTTTAGAGAATCTGGCCTCTGAACACTGCCACCTCTGCCCTTACAACATGCAGTTGTGGAATCCTTCATGTGAAGTTGCTAGAAACCAAATGAAGAGAGGTGGGTTGGCAGGTTTCCCTCATGGCAACACTCCCCGTGCTAGAAACAAGACAGGTGGGGTGGAAAAAGGGAAAGAAACGTTCATCGTGGAGTGACAAGGGATGCAGAAGGTAGCTCTTACCTTCCAGGTGCTTGACAATCCCCCGGAGGCTGTTACCATGGGCAGCAATAAGTACCCTCTTGCCAGCTTTGATCTGGGGTGCAATTTCATCATTCCAGAAGGGGAGGGCACGGGCAATGGTGTCCTTGAGGCTCTCGCATGCCGGCAGATCCCCAGGCTTCAGTCCAGCATAGCGCCGTTCCTGGACGGAGCCGAAGAAAAAAGGATAAGGGTGAGAGTGGTGGGGTTAGGAATTTGGAGTCAGGGTAGGGTTTTGAGGAGTAATGGCAGTCCAGATTTGCAAGGGCAGGACAAGAAGAATATAGAGATGTTTATGCGTTTATCAGCTACAGGTTTATTGAGGGCAGCCAAAATACATATTGAAGGGAGATCCTGTGCCCACAATTTCTGTTCAACACCTGTTCAACAATTTCTGTTCAATAAGGCAGACTGCAGAAATGTCTTTTCACGCATGCACACATACACAAAGAGCGAGCGTGCAGTGAGATTTAGGGGAGGTAACTTCTGATGGATTTATAAGAAACTGTTTTTTATTTGTGGCATTTTTAATTTTTTTTAAAAAAGTACAAATACAAAAAATCATATAATAAAGAAAAAAACAAAAAATACGCAAAATGAATGAAAACACGTGTCATAGTGCACCCCCTCCACCGGGACCAGGGCTGCCTACTAGTTCTTTTCTTTTGTTTGTCCACTTTTTCAGAAATACCCCCTTCCATCCAAAATTGCAATACATCCATTGGAGGTGTAGTACCCTCCTTTTTATTAATACATGTTCAATAAACAAACCCCAAACATGGTTAAAATCATTCTTCTTTCTCTCTCCTTTTTCCACTTTTGTGGCATTTTGTAATGATAAATTCCATGCTGCTGCCGCCTTCCCACCCACCCTGCATGGTTATGAATTCCAGCAGTAGCATGATGGATAACGAAAAGGGCAGGTTCTCATTCTCCATCTCCAAGTGGCCTTTTGTGCATTCAGGCACATGGGCTCCGTGCACACGCATGCAGCCATCTGGGAAGCTTCCAAGGCTCGGTTTTTTCTATCTAGCAGGAGCCCCTCCCCCAGCCCCAGCACAAAGGAGGGGCTCCCACCTGATACTCGGTTTGATGGAGGTGCAATGGGTCCCTGCGCGCACCTACAGTAAGCACTTGGGCCACCAGAGGGCGGCACCGAAGAGGGGAAGGAAGGTGGGTTTCTGTGAATACGCAGATCGAAGAGCAACAGTTACAAGCAAGCAACCTGCCTTTCTTCTCTGTAGTCTCTGGCATTGTACATATGGGCAACCGGTGAGCTTACCTCACGGAGGCAGCCAGTGCTAGTGCCAAAGAGCCACTGAGACAAGACTGCTCCTCTAAAGGCAAAGTCCACTCCGGCTCACACATGGAAGCAGCCGTGCTTCCCGAAGGATGACGGGTTCGACCAGGTGGCAGCCTTGCTGAGGTCAGGCAAGGATACGCCAGATAGAGAGTCGTGGAGGCCGCTGTTGCTTGCATGGAGTGAGCATGCGTCAGCCCCAAGTGCTGGAGTCTGGCTAGCTCACAGGCTAGGGAAACTGCGTTCAGGACCCCTCTTGCCAACCCACCACTGCAAGGAGATGGGTAGCCCCGTCTTCCCCCCTCTGTCGCACATACAGTCTTGGTGAATGGCGGACTGGTTTGGTCCTAGATTTGTAAAAAGCTACGGCCCTTTGGGCATCAAGGGAGTGCCATCCCGTCTCAATCAGGCCTGACAGTGCCATGAAGAAGGCTGGCAGGATGATATCCTCATTGAGGTGGAATGCAGAGACCACCTTGGGGAGGAAGGAGGGGTCAGGGCGGAGTACTGCTTTGTCTCTGTGGAACATGAGCTATGGCAAGTCGACCCATAGGGTAGCCAGGCAGTCTTTCGTGAGAGTAGCTGCCAAGTCCACAGTAGCCATAGGTGCAAAGGATTTCTTTCTGAGGGCTTAGGAGAGGATGGATACGCTCCAAGCCAGTGTTGCGGGTAGGATTGGTGGGACAAGGTTCTTGAGGCCCCGAGGGCAAGCGGTGGATAATGATGGGTGAGAAGGTGGAAAGACCTTGAACCTGACTGTGGAAAGGCAAGGTCGCGGCTGCATATGCACAGATGGAAGCTGTGTTGAGGCTGTGCTGGAAGAGGGAGTTTAGGAATAAGAGGATTTGCTCTATGGCCCAGGCAAGGGACTCAGATCTGTGCTGTGCCTTTGCATGGTAAGAGCATTGTGTGGTCACCTTCAGGGCCACTTCCGGGATTGGCTGGAGGTCCTCGAGAAGGTTACCTAAAGCAGTGGCTAGGGCTGGCTTCTGCAGGCTGTGCATCAGTCTCTGGATGGAGGACAGCTCCCTGCTCCTAAGAGATAATGTCAGGCATGAGCTGGAGGTGGAGGAAGGACTCGGAGAAGTGGAGATGATGGAACCAGTGCTGCATGGGCCACCAGGTGCAACGAGGAGGCAGTTGGTCCGGCCATGACAAATCCCTAGGACCTTCATGGGCAGTAGAAATGTGGGGGGGGTGGGGGGGTGGGGGTAACATGCAGGTGTCCTGGACCAGGTCTGGAGGAAGGCATCCTCCATGGAGCTTGGATCTGTACCCACTTGGGAAGAGAAGGGTCAGGATGCAGCATTGTCTTGGGTTGCAAAGAGGGCTATCTGAGAGCAGCCCTGTTACGCCCAGAGTGCTTTCCAAACTCAGTAGTTCAGTTCCCACTCATGACGTCTCTGGGGGTGTGGCTGAGGGCCTTGGCTAGGGTGTTGCTGGCACTGGCTCCATGGGTTTTTTTAGGATGAGGAAGAGAGAAAAGAGTTTGCAGAGGAGAAGTGACAGGGAGTAGAAGGAAGGAGAAAGAAGGCAAACAAAGGTAAGTGGACAGCTACAGAGAGCAGGGGAAAAACTTCCTGATGTACCCACAGTGCCAGTCAAAGGACATGCTGAGGCCTGGCCAGGGGAGGGGCTCCCGTCAAGTAGGAATAATTTAGAGCTTTGGAGGCTTCCCAGACGGGCTGCATGCATGCATGTGCAGAGCGCTCATGTGTGATGCACACAGACCACAAGGAATTGTACGAATTGTAGATGGTATATTCATTGCACAGAATGAACAAATGAATAATATAGCAAACATTTGGTATATTAAAGATTGATTGGTTGATTGAATACATCAGACAGACTCGATCAGAGGCTTCTAGTTCTTCTGGCATTGTAAATATGACAGTTCCTCTCTTCTATCCACTAACAATCCCCACATTTGGCTGAGACTGGAGTCAGGATAACCAGAAGCTAAAAGGGAGCTGCTTAAAAAGCTTTTAAGGCACAATTGTCTACAAGTTTAGACAGGGGAAAAGTTCTACAATTCCCAGCATGCTCCAGCCAGCCTGGAGTTATAGGCCCTTTTTTCCTGTCTGAATTTGCATAGGATTATGCTCTTAGTCTAGCATCTTTAACCATATGTGGAGTTAGTGGACTACAGTTAGGGGCCTGTAGTTTCTAATCCCACCTTTCCTTGTTTGATTGAAAATCTGGGGGAGAGGATGACTGGTGCTCTCGCTGTCTCTCTCTCTCTCACACACACTCTCAGTAGCTACAGATATCTTGCAACAAGGTGTTTAAAAGGGCCATTGTGCTTCCCACCATCCAGCTCCACCTTCAAGTCCATTAAAAATTGTGTCTGCAGAACAGGCACAGGGAGAAGATATATAGGTTTGCACTAGGAGACGTCCATGCAATTTGCAGTGGATGAGCGAGTGTTTCCAACTTCCACTTGTTGAATAACAACAGCAAAACCTATTTTCCTTCTATGTAGCCTGGGCTCCTGAACTCAAAAAAGTCTTGGAGGAAAACAGGAGCAAGTTTGTTTGTGCAAACATATACTGAGAAACACCTTGTTCTTCAATTCTACCCAATTTCTGCTAAGACACGAGTTTGCACCCAACTCTGTCCACTTATCTCAGGAGAAGGAAAGCAGTACATTTCACAAGCCTAAAGTCCGTCTGCCATTGCTGTAGAGATCTGAGGCTCCTTCCTTCCCATCAGGCTTATAAGCCAGAACAACCTTCATCAGCTGCAAGTGGAACCAGAGGGCAACCCCTAAGAACTACACAGTGAACTGCTGGAAGGCACTTGTGCCAGCAGATCTCCTTCTGCATCTCATTTATCACATGCATAAGCTGCCTTTCCTCCAAGGGGCTCAGGGGAGCATGCACAGCAATCCCTCATAAGCTGCCCTATCAGGTCGGCTCAGCCCTGTGAGAGGCTCGCTCAATGAGCTTCATGGTTGAATAGGAATTTGAACCGAAGCCTCTAACCCACACTGCAAACGAGGGGTGAGCAGAAAGTAGACAGGGATCTGTTAGTTAGCAGTAAATTAGCAAGAGGTTCCACTTAATCTTTCTCTAATGGAGAGCAGCAAGTAAAAACTCCTCCTCCGTCCCCATGTCTAAACAGAATGCTGGGGAGCAGGGAAACAGCTTCAGGGCTGAGATATGAACGGGTCATAAATTCCTGGGCTGAACATGTGCTCAGAGGCACCCTGGTATGCCTAGGCTTACTTGCTCCGTTCCTTTGCACCTAGTCTCTGGAGGGTAGGCTTCAGGGTTCTAATCAGTGCCTGAACCTGTCCATCCCTTCAGCATGGTATTGTATTTAAGAGTGCTGGACTGGGACATGGGAGATCTGGGTTCTAATCGCCACTCCGCCAGGAAGCCCACTGGGTGACTGTGGGCCAGTCACGGCCACTCAGCCTAGCCTACCTCACAGGGCTGTGGTTGTGAGGATAACATGGAGAAGAAGGGAGAAACGCGCAAGACACCTTGGGTTCCTTACAAGAGGGAGAAAGGTATGATATAAATGCAATTTAGCGACAATGATGTTATTTAACTCACCAATCTTCACTGTTTTCCAAGATGGAGCCACTTTGGCTCCAGGCATTACCATTGGGGTTGTGTGTGTGTGTGTGTGGGGGGGGGATTTCATGGACCAAGGGTGCCATCTTCTCTTCCCCCACCAGTAAAGTGGCAGCCCACCCCCCCTTTCAGGAGATGAGCGGCAAGTCTCCTGGCCACCCACCCATAAGCATCATCTGGTAGCCCAAATCACATCTGTTGCCCATCACTCAAGCAAATAACAAGGCAAAGGCAGACAGTCCTGCCGAGAGCGAGCAATTGCTACAAAGGGACATGGAAAGTGGGTGAGAATTGGGCAGTGGGGGCAGAACCACAATTAGGGTGAGCAAGACTTGGGCGAAAGAGCAGAACTCTAACCACTGCCCCGGGGAAGCTTTCTTTCCCTGGGCAACCTTGCACCAGCACTGACCTTGCTGATGACTTGATAGTAAGGGTGCTTTTCATCCATTGGAGGTGGCGGGATGTCAAAAGAGCGCCTCCAGATTTTGACCTGCTCCTCCCCATGCTTGGCCGCCGTCTCAGCCTTGTTGAGGCCTGTCAGTCCCCCGTAGTGGCGCTCGTTCAGGCGCCAGGTGCGCACCACGGGCAGCCACATCTGGTCAGTGCCTTCCAGAATGGACCAGAGGGTGTAGATGGCTCGCTTCAACACCGAAGTGTAGCAGATGTCGAACTCGTAGCCCGCATCCTTGAGCGCCTGGGCCCCACGCTTGGCTTCTTCCTTCCCCTTCTCGCTCAGCTCGGCATCAAACCAGCCACAGAAACGGTTCTCCTGGTTCCAGGTGCTCTCACCATGCCGCACAATGACAAGCCGGTGGGTTGGCATTGCTCTGATGGAAAGGAAGGCAGACTGTGTGCCTCAGCAAGGGGCCGGTGCAGAAACACAAACTCAAGCCCTTCCCTGAGCAACCCACACTCAGAATGGTGACGCGCCTGCTTTTTATGCTGCCGTTTCCCCTGCACGCTTCAGTCCTTGTAACCAATCTGTTCCTCTTTGGAGCAGACTGACAGCAGAGGCAGCCATTCACAGGGACTGGGCAGGGGCTTCAGGCTGAGGCCTGCCAGCAAAATATATGAACAAGGAAGCTCTCCCTTCTCCTCCAGGCCAGAAATAGCCCAGGGCTTGGCACTGCTGTGACCTTTTATCTGGAGGCCTGCTCTTAAAGGAGGTGGGGAGTAAGGAATGGGATTGGAGCAGCCCAGGCTCTGTGGATATTGCTTGGAGTTGAGGAGGGAAAGCCACCTCCTTTTTTCCAACTGGCACTTACCCCCTGAGCTCAGACATGCCCAAGGCCAAGCACAGAGGCCTGTGATGAATTCCCATGTTGCCACTTGCTCCAGGTTTCTGAAGACTGATGAGAAAGAGCTTAGGTTCGGCGCAGGGGGAAGATACACAGGGCTTGCAGTCTAATGCAGAGTGGGGAGGGGTGGGGTCCAGGGCAATCTATTAGCCACTCACCCCTCTGCTCATGCAGACCGATATACTTGGGAGTAAGTTGAGCTTGTAGCAGTGAAGCAACGGGAGGGAGACCTTTCAGACAAGGCCCACTACCTGCACGACCTTTCACCTGACCTTTTCTCTCTGGGTGGCTGGAAGGACAGGGCCCAGAGGGAGCAGCCAAGCAAACAGCTGAGGCCACTGTGACAGCAGCAAAGAAGTAAGAGAAAGGACAGTGAAGGCATCCTCTCCAAACCACCCCCACCCCCGCAACAGGACCTCCACACAGGAGAGGGAGTATTTCAGAAATGCATTGACTTTTGCAAGAGTTCCTCTGGTAAATTCTGGAGCAACGCCACTTCCCTAGGGTGCCAGAATACAGAGGGCCTTATTTGTTAGCTTGAGAGGAGAGAGAGAGATAAAATGCAATGCAATGCTGAATTCTAGTCAGACTCCATTAAGCTGTGCGATTGCTTTTTACTTTCCAACTGTCTGTTGTATCTCTGTGCATGGTGTAGGCACAAGATCCACCTTCACACACCAGTAATCCTAGATTGCTTCTTCTCAAATACATCATGCCTGGGCCAGCAACATTTGTCTGCTTTTAGGACTGCTAAGAATTATACAGCAACTAAAATATCTCTGAAGGAGAAAATAACCCAAGCCATTACAATTAGCTTTCTTTCATCATATTGCTTGAAATAGCACTATGCTATTTTATTTATATGCTGGTCTTCCAGTAAAAATGCCCCCAAATTTCAAGCAAACTTCTCCGCTATTTTGTGTCACGCATGCAGAATTTCCCCATGTGTGACCCAAAACATTGGTTGGGACCCTGGTTTGTTAAGCATTAGTGTCTAACATACAAGTGGGGGGGGGGGTTTCATGGGTATGTGTTTAAGTATGTAGGGTTGCTCAGTGGAAAGGCTAATGTAACTTCCAACAGGCAAAAACCAGTAGCAAAAGTTTTTCTCATTGCTGCATTTCCATGCTGGGGAAAAGCTACCTGCTGAAATTCTGCTGATGGTGCAACTGCTAAAGATATTGGTACCCCACCAGTGGAATGAAGCTATTAATATAACCCTTCTGATACAACAAGGTCTCAATTTCTGAGCCTGTTTCTCTTTTACTCGCAACCTCTAACCAGAGTTAAGGGACTAGTACACCATGCAGTATCATCCCTAGTATCCATCACGGCTATCTCTCCAAATTTATCTGATATTTGCACAATTTCTCACAATATGGTCTACATGGGAGAAAACTTGAAATAGTAAAGTGAACTGTACTAATTTCTGACTGGAAATGACAGATTTTTAAAGCTTTCCTGGGAGAGGGGATATACTCGCAAATAGAAAGCTAATTCATCAAGAAAGTGTTGCGGCAGCTCTTTTCCCCAGGGATTTGTTGGGGGGTGGTATTTGTTTCTCTGGGGAGGACATTAAAGATTCCACCTTTATCTCTGCAGTAATATAGACCACTCTGTTCCCCCCATGATTCTATCATCTCTTTCTCTGACATGTGTAAATCAGGTCTATAGTTTCACTTCAAACGTCCTAGAGCCGTGTGGGCACTGGGTGTAGAAGGATCTTGCCTTGGGGCACCCCAGCATGCCTGCCTCTTGAAGGAGTAGAAATGCAGCATTCCTGGAGACACTGCACAGCGCAAAGGTACAGGAGATGAGGGGGAACTGCAGTTCAAGAAGGGACTGATGCTGTTGGAACCAGGGCCAGGTCAAGCCACTTTGCTGCCTGAGGCAAAGCAGGAGATGATGTCCCCTCCACCTTCCACGTACATGAGCTGAATGCTCAGTGAATTGAACCTTATCTTAATACTGATGGCCACGACTTATGGGGGCAGCAAACGATCTTGCAGTGTGTAGGGCAAGCTATGTGGAACATACGTTCTGTCAACCAGCATCTTACCACCACCAAGAATCTACTGCCTGAAGTAATGGCCTCACTCTCCACGATAGTAGGGCTCCCTCAATGAAGGGGAATGAAGTGCTAATATACCAACTGGTTGTACATATCCTCCACAGAGTTTCCATTAATATTCCCAAAAACATTTCTATGCTGTCCTTTGCAATAGCCTCAGGACACCTTCCAGAAGATAAGAATAACAATATAAACAACAGTATAATAGTATAAATATCATTAAAAACATTCATCAATAAAACAAATAAACAACCATATATCATTTCATAACTAAAGAAAAAGAAAGAAGAAAATGAAAGTGTGACTGTATAAAATAATATTAAAATTAATGATATTAGTTATCAAAATGGCGGTTAAATAAAAAGGTCAATACATATTGAATCCTGACCTACTGACATTGGGTGGACCGGAGGAGACTTGGATAAACGCGCAATGAAAGTAATCAAAAGATGCCATTTTCCAAACCCTGAGATGGCTCTTGTAACAACTTCCAATCTGGAGGTGCTTTTGTGCCCAGGTTAAGGCCCGTTTGCTTGTGCTAAATTGCCACTGATCTGCTCAGCTGTGCGACTGCTATTGATGTTTTCAGCCAATCATCTTGCAGCATGCAAATAAACAACAAGGCATGACCACAGCATTCCCACGAGACTGGCCCCCTCCATTATGTTCCATCACAATGGCCAAGGATGGAACGATGCACTTTCCATTACCCCCGGACTGACTCTGCAGAGTGAAGCCATACATGAAGGAGGGGGGCGATGACCAAAGGGGGGGCCAAATTTCGCTTTAAACTAGGCCAGTGTGGCTTGTCACAGGAAACTGGTGGGGAAGTTCCAATTATTTTTCTGCTGTCGCTACAATAGCAAATTAAATTGTGGAGAGCCAGTGTGGTGTAGTGGTTAACAGCATGGGACTGGGACTCAGACGATCTGGGTTCGAGTCCCCGCTCAGCCATGGAGCCAACTGGGTGACTTTGGGCCAGTCACAGACTCTCAGCCCAGCCTACCTCACAGGGATGTTGTCGTGGGGATAAGATGCAGGAGGAGAATGATGTAAGCTGCCTTGAGCCCTTTGTAGGAAAAAGGCAGGATATAAATCCAAAAATAAATTAAAAAAATAAATAAGTGGTGGCTGTGGTGGCCCTTGGCTGAGACCTCAGCTCCACTCAACAGCTCCCCACCCATCTTTAGAGATAGAAGATAGTAACACCCACTGCCTTACAGGATGAGAGCAAGGTGACATGCAAAAACAACAGTGGGGTGATACCTTTACCGGACTTTACTGGTTAGATGAAGTCACTGGGGCAGTGCGTGTGGGCTTGGGTGGACTCCAGGGGATGGTGGAGGAGAGGAGAGCCTGGAGGAATGTTGTCCATGGGGTCATGATGGGTTAGGCACAACTTTTCAACTAAACAAAATATCTTTATTAGCACTAACCCAAAATGTTACAAAGAAATGCTGGGGGTGGCCAAAGGGGGGCTGCTACATCTGCCTAAGGGGGAGAAATCTCCTGACATGGTTGGTCTTGCATCCTCCAGAATTCTTCTTTAGGCCGGATCTTAGAAAGAAAGAGTAAGAGAAAGGCATGATGCCAACACCCCCAAGTCCGCAATTTATATTGGTCTCAATACGGAGTGTAGGAGGGGCTGCATTTATCAAACTCTTGCCTTAGGACCTCTAGCAGGTGGTCACAGCCAATGTTCAGGTGTTCTCATAGCTGTGATCCATCCACTGCCTCTAATGGGGGGGGGGAGGTGTGTGCGCGCGCACGCGCGCGCACACGCAGAGGTTCCAAATTCATTGTAAGTGAAGATGAAACAGCAGAAGACAAGTAAGAATACTTGGAAAGGCATGTATAAGAGTATGTGGCAAGGAGGAAAGAAATCAATATAAAATTAGTATTTAAGAACAGAGTATGCAGTCTGCCCCTAAAAGCCTTTAATGCCCCCCCAGGACACCCTACCTTTATTGAATTTTCCTTTTGCCTATATTATCTACTCCTCCCCAGATAGTCCTACAGAGCTTGCTTATTCCCTGCCACCGCTAGCAGTGATGAAAGAACAATCTGACCAGGATTTTCTGGCATGTGCGCACGTCCATATACTTACATACATGCAGGTGTGTCTGTGTACATCCATGTGTGCAGCCCCCACCTTTTGCACCAACCCTACAAAAAGGTTGGCCAAAAAGGTTACGCACCACTTGAACAGAGGAAAGCTGGAGTCCTTGAGGCAAAGAATTTGCCATTTTGAAGGAGATTCAATAGCAACTTAAAAGTCTATCCAGAATTGCCAGGCGATAATGCTGAACTGCATCTCTGCTGGCATTTTGTGAGTACTGAGCCTCAGTTCATTTTAGTTTCCTCAAGGGGTCCTGAGGGGAGAACATTTGCAAACCCCTGGTGTGGACTAAAATAGGAAGAGCCTCTGTTAGGTTTGAAGTGATTTCAATTTGTGCCAAGGGCTACTGAGGCAAAGAAGCAATTGTGGCTATTCCCCCAATTAAAACATCTATTAAATAATATCAATGGTATATATAAAATCT